TGGAGGAGCAGGAACTGGGATCTGGAGAGGATTGGGCAGGATGAAACGTTGTCTGGGATGTGATCCCAGACCAGGCACCCTGCTGCACCTCCATGAGGGCACTTCCCTCTCTCAGGGAGTGTTACAGCCTGGAAGGGCTTGAGGAGAGGCACGGATTTCTTTGGAGGAGCTGCACATTCCCAAAACAAACTGAGCTCCCTTCCCACAGCTCATCCCAGCTCCACACTCCGGGAGCTCGGAGCACCTTCCTGGGCTTCCCCCACATCTCTCTGCTGTTTCTTCTCTGTTCCATCCCAGGTGGGATTTGGGGGAGGGATGAGGAGCCCTGAGTTGATGCAGAGGAGGAATTGCCGCCACAATTCCCACCCCTGGTCCCTTTGGACCATTGTGATGAACTCCCCTCGTCCTCCAGCTCGGAATTACCCATGGGCTGCATCCCCCAGGATGTGCCTGCTCCGAGTGGAGCCTTATCCATGGGCCACAGTGTCTCCAAGGATTTATTCTGCTGTGGCATAGACTGACCCACAGCCACAGCTGCCTTGAGGTGGCCCTGTTGCTTCGTGGCCTTATATCCATGGGTGACAATTCCTGGACTTGCTCCGGCATGGCCACAATCCCTTCAGGAATGTCCCTGCTCCAGCATGGCCTTATCCCAGGCTGAAGTCCCTGGGATTATCCAGCATGGGAAAGTGAGGAAAACTCATGGATTGGGACAAAGGCAGCTTAATAGGGAAAGCAAAGCTGTCACAGCAGCAAAACCAAGGATTTCATTCCCTGCTTCCCATCCCAGGCAGGTGTTCAGCCTCCCTCAGGAAAGCCAGGCTCCATCACGGGAACAAACAGCATCATTCCAAACATCCCCCCCTTTCCTTCTTCTCCTCCCAGCTTTATATCCTGAGCGTGATGCCAAAGGGTCTGGAATGTTCCTCGGGATCAGCTGTCCCTGCTGTGTCCCCTCCCAGCTCCCTGTGCCCCCCCAAACCTGGTGGGGAAGGGGGAGCAGGGAAGGCCTCGGCTCTGCCAAACCCCGATTTCCCAACAGCTCCCGAACCCAAACCACAGGGATAAAAATGAACCCTTTCCCAACCCAAACCAGCACAAACCAGCACAGACCAACCCAAACCAGCCCAAACCAGTACAAACCAACACACCCAGTGGGAGCTGCCTGGAGCAAGGAGTCACTTTGTCGCTTTGGCCCCGTGTGGCGACACTTTGAGTGTAAAAACCCCACATGGGAGGGCAGGTCCCCCCCAGGCCGGGAAGGGGGGACAGCAGGGAGGCCACTGACCTCTCCCTGTCCCTCTGCCAGCAGGGTGGCCCCCGATGCCCACGGGAAGCAGCTGCTCCTGAAGTGGTGCCAGGAGGAGGGGCTGGTGGAGGTGCTGCCCTTCCACGGCTGCGACTCCCCCGGCGCCCCCGAGAAGCAGCTCCTGAGGTGCCTCCTGGGGCTCCAGGTCCAGCACATCCAGGCCAGGCTGGGAGTGTTCCTGACCCGTGAGTGTCCCACTGGGAATGGGGGCGGGAGGGGAGACCACGGGGGTGGGATGGGGTGTGGGATGGGGAGCTCACAGGGAATTGGGGTGAGGGATGGGGAGCTCACAAGGATTGGGTGTGGGATAGGGAGCTCATCGGGAATTGGGGTGAGGGATGGGAGTGTGGGATGGGAGCGTGGGATGGGAGTTCACGGGGGATGGGGTGTGGGATAGGGAGCTCATAGGGAATTGGGGTGAGGGATGGGAGGTCAGAGGGAATTGGGGTGAGGGATGGGAGCTCACAGGAAGGGAGTGTGGGATGGGAACTCACAGGGAATTGGGGTGAGAGATGGGAGGTCACAGGGAATTGGGTGTGGGATAGGGAACTCATAGGGAATTGGGGTGAGGGATGGGAGGTCACAGGGAATTGGGGTGAGGGATGGGAGATCACAGGGATGGGAGTGAGGGATGGGAACTCACAGGGAATTGGGGTGAAGGATGGGAGGTCACAAGGAATTGGGGTGAGGGATGGGAGATCACAGGGATGGGAGTGAGGGATGGGAGTTCACAGAGAATTGGGGCGAGGGATGGGGAGCTCACAGGGAAGAGAGTGCGGGATGGGGACCTCAGAGGGCAGGGATGGGGAGCTCACAGGGCAGGGATGGGGAGCTCACAGGGCAGGGATGGG